CCCCAAAACCCCAAAACCCCAAAACCCCAAAACCCCAAAACCCCTAAAGAAATAAAATAAACTGAAATATATCTGAATGTACAATCTGTGGCAGCCGATTGGAAGGGTTGTAGCACCTCATAATTACTCCCTCGAAAGTAGCAGACCTATTTATAAGTATCCTTATGCTTAAACTTCAGAGGAACTAAAGGCAGAAACCATGATCTAACCCAGAGCAGACACAACAACAGCCATCTTGATTCCAGTACCCCTATAATCCCCCAGGAAGTGTTCAATAACTCTCTGGTCTTAAAGGACCAGGAGGCTTACAGATTGATGAACGAAGGGAGTCAGTCCAGAAAGGCCAGGATGTAAGCGATCCCTTATCTTCTAGGACTCTTCTGCAGGTTATTCACTTTTCTGATTTGTAGGATATCTATCAGCAGCAGATAAATGAGAAATAATGCAAGGAAGGAAATGGAGAGGCGCATGGACCGTATGTATGATGCTGGTCAAAGCAGACATCCAACACATTCAGTAAGAGATCAATCAAATATTACCTGACCCCCTTTGAGCTCTATCTCGTCCAATGCATTACAGAAAAAGAACAGAATTCTAAAACAGGTAAGTATAACTACGCAGAGAATAAGCGAATCCCTTGATTAAAACTTCTCTAAGTATTGGAACCTGAACAATCTTTAATGAGTCAATAGTATTAGGAACGGATTCGATATTTCACTCTTAATCTCACTTCTATCAGGTAGCTTTGATGTGGATGCTCTATCTTCTAATGGTATTCCTAATTAATCAAATAACCTTAAATATCTTTAAGCTATGCAATTCATAGAGACTTTGAAGAGTCTTAGCCAAGAACTAGAAAATTGCAATGAAGGCTATAAATTCTCAATAGCCTTATTATCATAAATGCAAATTATCACGAGATCTGACCTACATTTATGCATTATTCTTTAGCTTGTTTGCTCTCTTTTGTTAGGTTAAAATAGCTAACTTAGGTCTATTCAAAGATGTTAATCAATTCATCAAAAATAATACTGTCTCTATTTAAATTTGACCGAAGCTAGAGGGAGCAGAGTAAGTTCTATTCTAGGTAATGTTTACCTTTAGAACTCTCTTTAAACTCGCTTGATCTGAAGAAAACTCCAAACTAAGTCCTTCTTTGGATTTTGAAATATCCTTTAGAATGAATCTAATAGATAATCATTGTTTGATAATAGAATTTTTAAGGGATTTTAGGCTCTCTTTGTTTGTTTCTTTGTTCTGTTCTGTTTTGTTTGTTTTTCTTTTTATAATGAGCAATTAAAACTGTGACCTGGCATGTAGATAAATTATAACAAAGACTTAGCAAAACTGCTAGAGATGAAACAGAAACAGAATAAATTCCAAAAATACCTCGAAGGTAAGCCATAAGCTACTTTTAGAAACCAACAAATTATCAACTCAAGGAAATCTGCAATTAGGACAAGGAGGTTCTTTTGATGTTTACAAAGCCAAGATAAATTCCACTGATACATTAATTAATGAAAGAATGAAAGATTATACAAAGAAAGTCCTTAAACCTAGCTTAAACAAGTCTAAGGCTAATCTTTTGACTCAAGAGTGGTACAGGGATTAAGTTTATAACCAACTATAGATCTATTAGAGAGTATAATGACAAGATCCAAAAAGATGAAGTCAAGTAAGTATATTACTCAACTTTATTAGGAAATACCAATCTAAAGTAATGCTTCAACAAAGAGCTAATTCAGAATTAATGCAGCAAATTGATGATAATAGAAAATAGGAAAGTTATCCACCAGAGAATGGTGGATAATGAAAAAGAGATGGTCAGAGCACATTTCATTAGAGAAGACACTAAAAATGCTTTATGTAAGACTTTCTCATGAATTTTAGTATTTGGCAATACTCAAAAAGGTCAGGCTTATAAGGATATCCTTGACCAACAGATACTTCACGATAAAAAGATTAAAGAATTTGATGTAAATATCAGTGGCATCACATCTCTGAATTTACCTTCCAACAGTAAGAATTGTTTAATCTAGCATAATTTTAGCTGAAAGAAACTCATCCTATTCTATGAGTAAGAAGAATGGAAGTATGGGAAATTTACTCTCTCAGAGAATTCCCTCCACCTTGAAGAACGTAGGAATCAACAGTTTGAATAAATCTAATTTCAAATAGATAGTTGAATCAGGGGTTTTGGGGTTTTGGGGTTTTGGGG